CTCATTCACTACTTCAACACAATCCCTGGATGTGCTCGAGGAAGCCTTTGTTTGTTACAGAGCCCTTTTCTGTCAGAAACAACAATAAGATCTTTTTTACTCCAACAGTTTTCTCACTGTGACAACTGCTTTTCCATCTCACTTTGTCAGGCACATGCAGAATTTCTATTTTCAAAATGAAAATGGGCAAATAAGTGTTCATATGCATTCTTAAAAACAAATCTGATTGTTTCTTTTGAAGCCAAAGTCTTCCAATGAAACCCAAAGTTCTCAACATGGCTCCCAACATTTTCTGTGATCCAGTCTTAATCTTTCTACCCAACTCCTCATATTTTAACTAGAATGAATGATACACAGTTTCTTCATTAAGACTCTTTGAGTGCTCTCCATCTCAAAGTGTATGCTTTCTTTTCTTCTATGCTTCTGCTTTTTGTGTATATCAGACCTCTGTTTATTTTGCAGCATTTAAAGCAAGCAAAGAGTCTTCTTAAAAATGTCTCCAAACCAGGAAGATTGTTCCATAGTTGGAAGCCTGCCTCATGAGCTGGGGGAGAAGGCAGCTGGGATAGAAAAGGGATCACTAAGTCAATGATGGTTGGAGGGATTGCTCAGGATGGGAGATATGTGCTGAAAATAGACATGATTCTCTCTCAATATCTGTATTGCAAACCATAATGGCCAAAAGTAGACAGAGAGTAAAAGGGAAACTGCCATAGAGGCAAGGGGAGGGGAGGGATGGAAACATTGGTGGTGAAAAATCTACACTGGTGGAGGGATGGGTGCTCGATCATTGTATGACTGAAACATGTAAGCTTTGTAACTGTAGCTCATGGTGATTCAATTTTTTAAAAAAGTCTCCAGGATGACAGAGATATAGTACAGCATGTAAGGTGCTTTCCTTGTGTGAAACCAATTGCCCCCTCCAGAAGTGATTCCTGAGCAGAGTCAAAAATAAGGCCTGAGTACTGCCAGGTGTGGCCTGAAAGAAAGAAAAAAAAATGTCTTTCGGGGGGGTTCCAGTAGTCTTATATGCCTGATTTCTATTTAGTCTGTTCATACTTCTTACTGCTCTGAGAATATTGCCTTCTTATTTATTCCACATATTTCAATGACTGAAGTTCACAAATTGATTCATTAAACAGATGCTTACTAAATACCTACTAAGTCCATGAATTAGAAAATTAATGCTAATTTCTCACCATTGTGAGACTCTGCCAGTCCTCTCTGGATTCCTCTTGTTAATTCATATTTACAATGTGGAAAAACAGTTTGATAGTAGAACAGCAAACAAGGAGATAAAGCATATATAAAAATAGCCATCAGTAGCAGTTATTCCATAAAGCAGGTGAGTGTAGCATTAGCTTTATATGTTGTTTTTCCTCTACATATGAATTATTAGCCAGTCAGAGATGGGGTCTTGATGGTGATTCCAACAGCTTTGTTTTGCTTTTCTCCTTCTTGTAAACTGAGTGGATTTTTATTATGGGAATTTGTAGTGCACGTTGATGTTTTTTGGACACTTAAAGGCTGTAAACTACTATTTCTCCAGCTGTTCTTTTATAGTTGAGATTAGTACTGTTCTTTGCCTACCCACCAAGTCATTTGAGGCTTTGCATGGGTCTTGAAATGCTGAATAATAGATCACTTTTATTTCTTTCATGGAACTTTTCTTCCTGGTTTGGACTAACCTAGTTTAATTGTTTTATAAAATTTAATAAAAATAATAGCTGCTCATTATAATAAGTTCAAATAATAATGAATCTATTTATAGTGTTGGAGCAGGTAGGATATTTGCCTTGCATGCAGCCAACCTGAGTTCAGTCCCTGGCAACCTATATGGTGCCCCAGCCCTGATCTCTGAGCATAAAGCCAGGAATAAATCCTGAGCACCACTGGGTATGGCCAAAAAAAAAAAACCAAAAAGAAACCAAAAAGAAAATTAATTAGTGATAAATACTTTTTTTTTTCCTCCAAAGTCTTCCATTTCAACATCCCTTCTATTTTGAGGTAACATCAGTTAAAGCCTTGATATTTCATACTTACCCTTTTTCATTATATTTATATTTAATAAATAAGGGGATAAATTTAATAAATGAAAATTACATGATAAACATTCTACAGCATGCCTTTTTCTCAGTAACAATATGCTACAGCTCTAAGACAGCATATAAGATATTCAAGCTCATTTTTAATAACTACAGGGCATTTTTTCATCCCCCTACTGATGCACATTTAGATTATATTTGGCTTTTTCAAACTAATATTGAAGTCTTGTATAAATCTTTAAGTATGTGTTGAGTACATCTGGAGGGTATAATCCTCTGCATCCAGTAGAACAGAGAAAACAGACAATGCACATTGGTTAATCTTGCTAAATTGTCCTCCAGTGAAAGGATGTATAATTTATTTCTGGGCATTCACACCAACACTATATTCCTAATCTTTTATGTCACTCTAACTCCCAAGAAAACTATCTTTATATAGCTATTTAAATTGATACCTACTTAAAAAAATTTTTAAAAATAAATTGATACCTACTAAGGTTTAACATTTTCTCTTTATTACAGTCGGAAAAATATTTTTTCAAAAATCAAAACTTGAAAAATTATAAGAAATTCACTGTTAATTGTCTAACCATACCAACAAAGAAAAACCTTTTTTGAATCATGCATGTTAATTTCCTCTGCATTTTTTTTAACTCCCAGTTATTGTGCCCCTGCTAAAATCCCCACCCAGTTGCTTCTGCTCCGTCTTTCATTTATCACCCGGAACAGGAACAACAGACCTGCCTGTTCCCAGCAATTTCCCACAGAGTGAGGGTTCTGTTTGAAGGGTATTAGCGTGACTAATATTCTGCTGACATTAAGGCTTTTACCTTAATCAGTAAATTAGGAAATATAGTTGGGTCCTTCCGTGTTTCAAGTGTCTTACCAGTTCCCAGGTATTTTGTATCTGTTTTTGATATTACTTGATTGAAATCTTCGTGACCCCTGACTGGACTGTTTTTTAAGTGATAGTTTATATTTTCAGCATTGGACAAAGTGAAGCTGGGGAAACTGGAGCTAAGTAAAATGCAAAAGTTCTTTACAGACCTGTATTCTAAATAATCTATTCTTTGCAATAAAAAGTGGATGTAAGAAACTTTATATATCCCTAAAATAATTATAATAAACATTTCGAGTCCAAGAAACCTTGAGCAAGATTTTTTTTCCTATTTTAAACAAGGTCTTGTGGGGGAGACTTTGAAAAATTCTCTTGTTTTGGTGGCTGGGGCCGGGGGTAGGGGTTCTCAGATTGGGGCTGGACCATTCCTGGCAGTGACTGGAGGACCTCAGACTATGATCGGCGGCATGCACAAGCCCCAGAACCCTTGCTCCCTCCCCAGCCCTCAAAGACATTTCTTTTTTTTTTTTAATTTTTTTTTATTAGTGAAACACCATGAGGTACAGTTGTAGATTTACAATTTTTTGTGCTTGGGTTTGATTATACAATGATCAGATACCCATCCCTCCACCAGTGCCCATTTTCTACCACCATGGATAATATCCCCCCACTCCCATCCCCCCATCCCCCCCTGCCTCTGTGGCAGGGCAATCTCCTGTGTTCTCTCTTTCCTTTTGGGTGTTGTGGTCTGCAAAAGAGGCATTGAGTGGCAAACATGTTCAGTCCATAGTCCACTTTCGACATGTATCTCCCCTCCTGAGGATCCTCCAAACACCCTTTATTTGGTGTTCCCTTCTCTGTCTGAGCTGCCCTTTCCTCTAGAATGCCCGACTGGCCACTAAGCTATGGAGTAATCCTCCTGGTGCTGATCTCAGCTATCAGCCCTCAAAGACATTTCTAATACATCAACAGGCCATTAAAAGATGGTGTGTAATTATGTATTTAAAAATGAGGACATATGGCCATGAATATCTTTACTAAGTTCAAGACTCAGGATGTTCTCAAATCACAGGTGGCATTAGCCAGTAGGAACACTTCCATATTCCTTAGCTTTTTTTTTCTTTTGTCATATTTAGCATTACCCTTTGCTGATTTTTCTCTTTTCCTTATAGGTTCCTTCTTACTACCTGCTCTAATATACTTAAATACTCACTGCCAAAAAGATGGGAACTGAAGATAGGGAAGCAATGAAATTAGAGAATAGAGGGAAAGGGATAGACTCTGGGAGTTCTAGAAACCTAAATAACTTCATCGCTGATCCTCTATGGGGAGGAAACTGTTTCTGCACAAGGCCATAGTTAGGGCCAGACTCAAGCTCAGGGCTGTGCAGACTCCACCCCTTGCTCAGTGTCAGGCAAGTGACTCACCCTCTTTATCATTCAGTTTCCTCATGGGTCAGCTCCCTCAGAAATTTATGTGGTAAGTATGTCAAAGTTTTAGAAAACGATAAATCAGTGAATTTCACTATTTTTGCCCTCAATAAGTATTAGTGTAATAATACTCTATGTAGGATTTTTATATTCCCAGATCTGAAGAAAGAAATAGACTGTTACCTACTATTGGGCCTCACTAATAGCCCTACTTGGCTATGTTCAGTGAAGGCTCCTGCCATGCTCACGTTAGAAGGGGCTTGAAAGTAGCTAGCCAGCTAGCCAAACTTCTTCCAAAGAGATCTCATGAAGGCTTCTGGAATCCCACAGCCCTCCAGCATTTTCTCAGTGAAATAGCTACTTGAAAACAGGGGGAAAAGAGTAAAAGGTGTGCAGCTGGCAAGGAGAAAGGATAATAACTTGCCGAGAAATATGACAAGAGGTATCAGGAAAAGCTCAATTAGATGACTTTCAGGAAACTGATATGAAATGTGATTCATGGGCGAGGTAATTTTTCGGTCGAAGCTGAAATAACATCATGGTTCCAGATTAGAGCAGTAGCAGCATCCACACCTCGCCCCCACCCACCTTCTTAAATAAGGGCCAGCTTCCATGATTCTCTTCTGCAACTTTGTAAGAGGAAGATGTGCCGGTATTTCCTGATTCGAAATTCTGCTTCCCTTCCAGCTGACCCTCTGGTAGGCAGCATTGCTACCCAGTACATGACCAACAGAGCGGAGCACGACCGGATGGCCAGACAGTGGACCAAGCGGTATGCCACATAGGGGCCTGTTCCTACCACCCTGCCAGACCTGTGCAAGCACATTCACCAAGTGCATCAGTAACCCTGCCCACCCCTCTGGACCTCGGTTCTTATTTTCTTATTTTTATTAAATTTTGAACCATTTTGTGATGATATGTCATCCATCTCCTACTTCCTTCCACCTTTCCTCCCTTTCCTCTCTCCCTACCCCCTCCTGTTTTATTCCCTTTTGATTTCTGTTAACTTGAAAGATTGGGGGTATTTTTCCCATTACAACATGGATGAGAATTTTTGTTTTCAGTGCAAAAAATGTTGGATCTGTAATAGTAAGAGCTTTCTTTACAAAGCCATGTATTACTGTGTGGTTTTTGGTTTTCAGTCTTTGTTTCATTTTGATTATTTTTCCTTTTATGTGATCTTTGGGAAAACACACGTTCTGAATTATATCTCATTTCTACTTAAATGTAGTGCTTAGGATTAATTTTTTGTACTGAAGTCTTTATTGGCGGGTGCATGCTACTGGGAACAAGTTTTTGTACAAAAGCTTCAATCAGAATCACTGTGCATACTGAGACTCTGTTTATCACTGGTCTTCTGTCCCCTGTACAGAAGACTGTTGGGTTGAACAAAATAATATGTATTTTGATTTACTTAAAGTGTTTGTAAATTTCTTAGGGACCTGCCACTTTTGACTGTGGATCAGTTGATGTACACTTGTATTATTAAAGCACTCAATAAATCACTGTGGCTGATAAATACACTTGTGGTAACTCAGTACTCTCTATCCTGGTGGCCAGGTGGGCACTACCTACAACAAGACTTATCGAATTTAATTACAGATTCAAATGTATTTTTATCTCAGACCTCTAATATTTCTTAGTATTGAGTTGCTTACTATGTGCTATTTTTCCAGCTACCAGTAGCCTGGTAATTTTATGGTTGTTTCAAATCACTGTTATTTCACATACATGTGACCTGAGAACTAACCTTTTACTGCAAGTGAAGTATGGTCATTGTGTTTGAGTATTTGATCACTTTTAAATTTTCTCTTCGTTTTACTTTTAAAATTGTTACAGTGGGAAAAAAAGCATTACAGTGATTGCCCTTACGTTTTATTCTTGATTTTTTTCTTTTAATATTTCTTGTGGAAGAGATCAATTCAGCTGTGTCAGTCATGTTCAGCACTTTCAGTGGCAAAGATATATATATACACACATATATGTCTCCTTTGGCCTTTGGGCTATTTTAGCTATAGGAGACAGAAGAAACTTGAAAAACACACTGAGATACTGGTTAATATTCAGCCTTCTTTGTGTTACAAAGCATATTAGAAACTCCTGCCTTCCAGTAATTCCACTGTTGCAAGCTTGCCATATAGCTTGGTCTCATTTAAGAAACAGCTTAACTGCTATGTAAGTAGAATTTACAAATATTGTAAGTTATTCATCTCGAAATATTTCTGAATCAAATTTTAAATACCTAATTCAAAAGATTATGTTTTTGTGGTTTTCATGTGGAGAAACATATTCTAAAATTATCAGTTTCAATAATGAACTGTTACTTTTAAACCACAATGCCTAGGGTTACTTTCAAACCTTTGTTTTGTGTGCAAGAGTTACCCCTAGCATAGTGCTTTGGGGGTCATGTACTGCCCAAGGTCTAACTTGGGACTCCTGCATGCTGAGGGTACACTCAGCCCCTTGAGCTATTTCCCTCGACGTTTTTTTTTCTCTTTTAATAACCTTCCCACTCATTTTATTTGAAAATACTTACAAACGTATTAGAACACCATTTTCTTGCTATTGCAGTTACTCAAAACTTGTAGCTATAACAGAAAGATCATGTGGTCCAGATGAATGGGCATTGCTGTGTTCCAATAAAACATTACCAGTATAGTAACTGAAATACATTTTGCCCATGCATTATGGTTTGCTAATCCCTGATATAGACCACCATAGACTGGTGAAGATTTGGATAATTTGCTTTACATCTCTTGATTTTGTTCTGTTTGAAGGTACCCAGCAGTACTCCAAGGCTATTCCTGACTCTGTGCTCAGGTATGGAGGTGCTCAAGAGCCAATATATAGTACCAGGGATTCTAACCAGGGCCCACCACATGAAGGACAGGCTTCTAAACCCTGTATTTTTTCCTCTGACTCTAACATCTCTTCCTTCAAAATAAAAATACTTCACATAAGCCTTATTTTTAGAAAATAACCCAAAGTGTTTTCTTTTTTGCAGACTTTCTTACCATAGTGCTTTTGTTTTATTTTAATTTTCTAGATTTGTGTTTTCAGCCCTAAAAGCACTGTTTTAATATGCAACTTTGTTGAACAATATTTTTACTTTTAACTCATTAAATAAACCAGATCCATGATTTTAATATTTATTTTTATAGATAATGTTTATTTGGGGGGGTGGTATTTTGGCCACCCATGATGTTTTGTGCTCAGAGATCATTCCTGGTGGTGCTCAGGATATATATGGTGTTGGGGATCAAATTAGGGTCAGGCAACAAATGCAAGGCAATTGCCTTAATCCCTGTACTATCTGTCTGGCCCTACCTATAGATAGTGTTTAAATTCAGACTGCCTTTTAAAATATTCCCGCCCTAGGGACAACAGTAGTAGGGCATTTGCCTTGCACAAGGTTGACCGGAGTTCGATCCTCAGATCTGATGTGGTCCCTCAAGTCCTGCCAGGAGTGATCTCTGAGCACAGGATCAGGAGTAAGTTCTGAGCCCCACTGGGTGTGACCAAAACCAAAATAAGTAAAATGTCAGCTCCATTATACACAAATTTAAATAATCTATCTGCAGTACATTACAGCTATATCTCCTATATCGTTGTACTTAAGATTTCTTTAAATGTGTCTTAACTTGGGGTTAGACATTAGTAGGAAACCCTATCATGAATCTGTTTACTTTCTAGTGCCACTTTAAGGTATTATACCAACTTCATAATGAGACATCTATAAAAGGTATCACCCATTTTTATGAACTCTGAATATTAGTGACATATGTACCCTTCCTCAGAATGTGAAAGCCAGAGAAACTATCAAAATCATAGTTGTGTCTCTTCAGTCTAAATTCAAATGATGACATTCTACTTGTCAAAACAGATTATCCAATTCCAATTAAGTTTTTTAAGATAAGTTTGGCAGGGGGGTGTTGTAGGCAAGGCAATTGGACTTAGGGTTTCTTGAATGTTACCACTCAAGTTCAGTTTCCAACAGGACAATCCCTGCCCACCACCTACACCCCACCTTAGCTTGATTTAGACCTAGAAGTTCCTGAGCACTACCAGCATCACCTGGGTAAACCTCCCCAGCAGCACCTCAGCCTACTCATTGAGCACCAGCCAAAAATAGTTGAGAGCGGTTCTCGGGCCACCTGGGCTGCTCATAGGTGCCCCCTCCACACACCCCCTAAAAGAAAGGTGTGTGTCAGGGTGGGGGGAGATGTGTAAAAACACAGAAAACTAGTTACCTAAAAATCATGGGAATTATTTTTTGACCTAATAACAGTAATTTCCCATACCAGTTATTGGTACTTAGAATGTTACTTTGTTGATAAAATACTGGCAGTTCTTGATTGTGCAGCAGAACCATGAGTCATTAAGAAAATAGTTCGAAAAATATTGTATTTCCAGTCACTCCAAAGGTAGTGGCCTTAATTTGCCATAAAATTGCAAATAAGCAAAACATTTTTCACCTGTGTTTCTACAGAAATCCGTGAAAGTAGCAAATGCAGAATTGATCTTTTTTTTCTTATTCTCAATTAAACCTGGAAGTTTGTCCGGGAACAGTGTTTTAGAAGTTGGGAAGAAACAGAAAGAAGTGTTTATTCAGAATGTACTGTGTGTACCCAGACCATAAATTGCTTAATAAAACCTCAGCTTAACCCTTTAAATTACTGTAGTCTACTGAACGCTACCCATACCCCTATCCCCCACTCATGCTGAAATCCTGATCAGGATTAGGAGGTGGGGCCTTTGGTAGGTAAGTAGGTTGTGAGTCAAAGCCTTCATGATTTGTTTTAGTGACCTTATAAAAGAGACCCTCAAAGCTCCTTAACCCTCCCCTCACCCCTGTTATATGAGGACACAGCAAGAAGTCAACAGTGTAAAACCTGGAAGAGGCCTTCATGAGAATTCAGCCTTCCTGATCCCCTGACCCCAGCCTCCAGAACTGTGTGAGAGAAATTTCTCTGATGTATAAACTGCATAGTCCGGTATATTATTATAGCAGCAGAAAGAACTAAGGCAATTATCTTCACTTAACAAGGTATTAAAGTGAAGTTTCTACCTCCAGTGTATTCCAGAGTCCTTGCCATCAGCTACAAAGCCACATAAACCTTTCTCATTACTATGAAATCATACTGAAAAAATTAGAATAATTCAATCTTAGAGTAAAGGTGTTAGACCATGTTTAATTGCGGGGGGTGGGGGATTGTCATCTTCAGTAAGTGGAAAAACTGTTAAAAGCTTTGTGGGCCAGGACCAGGGATGCGGTTCAGCAGGAGAGCACATGCCTTGGCTTCTATCCCCCACTAGGCAGCGATCAGCTGAGTGGAGCCACATTACTGATTGAGTGACATGAGGAAACATGTCACTTGGAAGCCTCCTGAACTTCTGGATCTCAATGCTTTAATTAGTAGGACTGTTAATTATTATCAAGTATAGCACTTTTTAAATATTTCTAATAATTTGTGCTTCAGGCATGCTCATTAATACCAAGAATGGCTGAAATTGTACCCTAAAAAGAAATCTATCAGACGATCCTGACCTCCCATTTATTTTATTTCAGGGTGATTTATATGGTTGTGAAAATATCCATTCTAGAGGTTGGAGCGATAGCACAGTGGGTAGGCCATTTGCCTTGCATGTGGCTGACCCGGATTCAAATCCCAGCATCCCATATGGTCCCCTGAGCACCGCCGGGAGTATTTCCTGAGTGCAGAGCCAGAGCCCAGGAGTAACCTCTGAGCATCACCGGGTGTGACCCAAAAAGCAAAAAAAAAAAAAAAAAAAGGGAAAGAAAAGAAAATATCCATTCTGTGGGGCTCCTTAAGTGTGTGAGTACATGGAATAGACACACTTAAGCCACATAGGCATACCCTGTACTCGGAATAGTTGTACAGTGGTCCTTAGAGGATATCTCAGCTGCTTGGCCTTCTTATATTCTATACCACATAATTTTAAGCTACACTAGATCTGGAATCATTTTCAGTCGATACTCAAAAAATGACTTTATGTCTGAAGACAGTTCGTAATAGCCCTACATCCTTGCTCCCCCTGGAGAACTTACTGGGCCCGTGAGCCTGAAACATTTCCTTTCTACTAGGTGCTTTTCACTCCCACACTCTGCCACGAGCATTAGGACTGTGAAATAGAGTGACCACATTATTTAAGTTTGTCCAAGACTTTTCCTGTTGTAAGGTTAAAAAAAAAAACCACACTATGTTTCAGGAAGCCCCAACAGGTCCTTTGAGCTTTCATGCTATCTATAACTACATTTTAGCACAAAGTCACAGGCATTCCACACAGCACCATTTGGCCCATGGAAATGTTTGACTTTAGGGACAAGAGAGATAGTACAGAAGTAAGGCCCTTACTTGCTTTGCATACCAACTACCCCGACATATGTATATTCCCTGAGCACCGCTGGGTATGACCTAGAACATATACATACAGACAAATTTTTTTACTTTAGGAACCAAAACAGTGTTTGTCCAGAAATTCTTTTTGTTTGTTTGTTTTG